TATATAATCACACTCCATAYCTTTATTTAAATGATTCCATCCCTCAGGATTGTCCCCTGAACTACTCACCAAAGTTCCCTGTGTCCAGGTCCCTGTTTGGGTACCTACTGCCACCCAGCAAGGGGTGATGGGGATTAAGAAAAGACAAACATTTAGAGAGAAAGGTGGCTTCAGGTGGGAGGCTGCCCTCTGGTTGAGAACAATGATGCAGAGCTGGCTGTACACATTTATTGTATGGTTTTATCATTAGAAGGTTGATTGTGAGAAAGTTTCTGGAAACAACAGGCAGGCTTGAAGGTTACAGCACGGCAAAACATTGTGGTTACCATGCTGTGTTCAGAATCCTCTGTTCTTAGAAGCCAGTGTCTGTGACTCAAGGTTAAAACTGGCATTTCTGGATATTTTCCCAGAGAGACCAARGGCCAGCATTGCCATAGCAACTGGGAAATGTTAACCCTGTACTTGTGCACAGGGAAATGTTAACCCTATATTTTCATATGGAGGAATACTAGCMCAAGCGCACCACAACCACAAGTTAGTCAGACACCTTGACTCTCAGCACCACACTCCATACTCAATTCAGCCTTTGTGCTGTGAAACTCTTTTGAGGAGAGCATTTGGCAAACACCTATCTCACAGCAGGTGGGTTTCTTGGCATATTTTAGCCACCGTCTTTTTTAAGGTATGGTTGATGGTTTCTGTTTTCCTATAGATTGGGATCTCCAGAATACATATTTCCAWTATATATGCAATATTTTGCTCACTCATAGGTCAGTTCTGCAATRAAAGATAGTCCCTGTTAGTTTGTATTGAGGGGAGCCCATAACTTGGGATCAGCTCCTTTAAGAGGACTCTAGTTTTCTGAAGTCTTTTCTGTTCTAGTAGAATCAGCCTGACTCACAGAGAAGGTATCTATCGGTACAAGCAAATATTTATAAGTTCCTRTGAATGGGCATTTGGGTAAAGTGTGCTTTTCAGTCATCAGAAGGATATGTTTTTATACCCTAAGTGTGTATTAGACTTTGAATTGTTTGAGTGCAGAAGACACAGTTCTGAATCACTTGCTGAACAGTCCACTGGAGGCATGGCCCTCACAAGTGGGCTTGATGAAATTGACACCCTTCCCCTAGTAGCACTCTCCTCAGAGTGTTTGATCAAGAACAGAGGGTGCTTCAGGAAGAAGGGTGAGCTGCACCTGGCACTGTTGTCCCAGAGTCCCAACTCCATTATTTGCCCCTTTTCTCATTACCCTCAGTATAAACAGATTTGGAATTGGTTTGCTCCAAGCTGAGGTGCCAGGGCCCTGATAAAGGAGTTTGTCCTTCCTAACACTTTTGACTTCCCTGTCAGCAGCCTGATTTCTCCTGGCCACACAGGTATCAGTTGTCTCAAGGCAGGATAGTGCAGGATCACCACCTGCTATGGGGTGGACACAGCCTGTATTATTAACAGTATTTTCAAGGGCATCCTTAGTGTCGTTTTCTCAGCTGTGAGGAGTGCTCTTTCTTTCCAGGTATCTCCATGTGCGTGTACCATCTTGGAGGCATGTTTTAAGTCAGTGTAAATGCTTACCTTCTTTCCTTTGGTCAGTCAGAGCTCATGTGAGAGAACTTAGCTTGGTTTTCTGGGCTGATGTTGTTAGCAGCAGAGTCATGTGCCATGACTGCAGAATACCCAGATATCCACTGGCCATTGCCTATGAACTTGCTTTCATTGCTGAAGACCCTTCAGTCTGGCTCAGCTAATCAATCAAAAGTCCCACTTGCCAAAGAGTCTCCAAGCTTTCTGAGCAGTCACATTGTATTGGGCCATTGTCATCTGCTGGCAACAGGTTTGTTTGATTTAAGGTGACACAGTTTTTCTTGAAGTTGACATTTAGATTGTCGAAAAGGATGGCCTGGAATCTCCCTACCCTCCCAGCAGTCAGCTGACACCCATCCTTCTGTTTTAGTAGGATAGGACTTGGTGAGCAACAAACCCAGTGATGGATTGTCCAAGTGGGTTTCTCAGCCTCTTGTGGTAAATCACTGGTGTCAGTCACACCCCACAGGACCCTCCTTTCATGGTGTGGTCAAGCTGTTCCCACACACAGGCTACTGGCTGCAGTATACCTCCAGTGTGTGTAAGAGAACTTCAGCATCTGTACCTTGTTTCTCATTCACATAGAGTCTTAACACCTTCTGTGAGTCAGGCAGGCCTAGGGCAGGGTCTCTCATGAGACTTCGTTTTAACTTCTCAAAGGCAGCTTGGCTTCTGTGTACAGTGGAATGTTTTATTTGTTCCTTTTAAGACCTCATGCAGGAGTTTACCTACGAGCCCAAAATTAGCGACCCAAATATGCAGCATGCTAACTGTTTTAGTCAGCTTTTTCAGTGCTGTGACCAAAATTCCCAACAAGAACAATTTTAGAGGAGAAGTTTATTTCAGGGTTCCTGGGTTCAGAGGCCTCAGTCCATAGGTAGCTGACTCCATTCCTCAGGGCCTGGGCTGAGGCAGAACATTGTGGCAGAAGACTGGTGGAGGAAAGCAACTGGGAACATGGTACCAGGGAGCAGAGAGCTCAACAAGGAAAAAATATAAACCCCAAAGGTGTGTCTCCAGGGAACCCCCTCCTCCAGCCACACCCTGACTGCCTACAGTTACCATGCTGCAGCTATCAGGGGTTAATACACTGACTAGGTAAGACTCCAGTCACTTCATGTCTGAACTTTGCATTGTCTCCCATGAACTTTTGGGGGACACAAAATATCTAAATCATAACACTGACATTTCCAGGAACCCATGAACCTGTCTCTGATTCCTGACTTCTATAAGGCTTAAGCTAGCCTGCTTCTGATCTGACATCAAGATTCAGGTTATTGGCTAATCTGGAATCCCGGGTAGGTGACTTGTTTACAAAATAAGCCACTTTAGTAGACATCTCATATCCACATGAGGTGCAGTGGTTTAGCTCAGCAATAGTATTTGAAAATCAGAATTCATAGTTGGGGGTTGGCTATAAGCAGGTCATCTTCATATTTGTGAAAGGATCCCTTTATCCAGCTATGACTCTCACAGCTGATACTTTAAGACTTTCATTAAACAGTACAAAAGATTTTTAAATCCCTGAGATAAGATACTCCAGCAATCCTGGATGATTATTTTTTATTGAAGTCCTGTCACTCAAAAGCAAACAGTGGTTAGGGATTCCTTTTCAGAGTGTTACAAAAGAACCCCTCTTTTAAATCTAGCACTTTGAACCAGACACAGTTACCTGACATCACCATTAGTAAGGTGTATGTATTAGGTACTGTGTGGCTGAATATCAGAAACGATGTAATTTATAGCTCTCAGGTCTTGCCCAAGTAAGTATTCATCAGTGTGTGTGTGTGTGTGTGTGTGTGTGTTTTATTAAACAGCCAGGATTGCGGTATTACAGGGTATTTGGCAAAACTAACCAAATTCATCTTTTAAAAACTTGTCTACAATAGGCTTCAGATCCTTATCAATGCTTCCCTCTTGAGAACGTATTGTTTCTTCTAAGGGCAGTTTACCACCTCCTTAAACAAAATCATCTTTGTAATGACATTAATCATCTTTCTCAGAGTCTCTTTGACCCACAGAGAGTTATTTACTTTTTTTTGCTTTGGTACCAGGGATTGAGCCCATGGCCACTTAACCACTGACCACATCTTGTTGTTTTGTTGTTGTTTTTTTTTTAATTTTGGAAAAAAAAAATTGGGACAAAGTCTCACTATGTTGCTTAGGGCCTTGCTAAGTTGCTGGACCTAGCTTTGAACTTGGAATCCTCCTGCCTCAGCCTCTTACCCTCCCAAGCTGCTAGGATTGTAGGCATGTTCCATCATGCCTGGGTCAATAGAGTGTTTTAAAAAAGGGGGGAGGGTCTATCACACATTGATTTATAAGTTTTTTAAAAATTGAGTATATTCTTTTCATCTATATGAAAATTTATTGTTTTAATGTATAAAAAGTTCACATTTTTGCCTTTGTACATAAAATATAAATATCATTTGATCAATTTTGTTAACAGGTTTCCATTACTGTGCTCATTTGTAACAATAGCCTTGCTCTGAAAATTCTTTTAACATTCACATTTTCTTTTGACCTTACTATTCTTTTCTTCTGAATTTCAGATCAAATAAACTTGGGTAAAAATCAAACCCTGCCTTTTACTGAATGCTTCATAAAATGTTATAAAAGATAAATACTCTTTTAAATTTTTTTTTAATATTTATTTTTTAGTTGTAGTTGGACACTATCTTTATTTCACTTATTTATTTTTATGTGTTGCTGAGGATCGAACCCAGTGTCCCACACATGCGAGGCAAGCACTCTACCACTGAGCCACAACCCCAGCCTGATGAATACTCTTAATATCTCATTATTTGGGGTGTTACGGATTAAGATACGAAAAACCCTTAGGGTGATTTGTACACATTTGAAATGATCAAAAGGATTGTTGTTGCTGTTTGCTATGTTATTAACACACATAAATCCCATAAAATATTTGAAGTAAGACTCATCAGTGAATGTTTCCTTCAGTGGTCTGCCTCTTGGCAATTCAAAGTTTATATTGTATGGCTATTACTGGAATCACTTGAGAGCTTACTGCATATTCAGAAAACCAGGCTCCATCTCAGAACTGTTGACTCAGAGTCTTGTTTTAATAAATTTGATTTATTATTGTACAATTACAATTTGAGAATTACCCTTCTAAATCACCATAACACTCTCACATGAAGATTATACACAATTTATTCTGATATATAACGTAACAAAATGTATACACTTGTTTTGATGCTTGCTTACTTCACTTTTTCCTCAGAGTTAGATCATATATAGGATCATTGTATTCAAAAGTATCTTATTATATAATGGAAGTCCCTTACCTACAAGAGAGCCATTTCTTCTAGATCTCATTTCAACTTCAGTTCAATTTTAAAAACTCTGTGAATGACTTTGTGGTCATTGTGCAATTTATATGCCAATTTTCATTCCAGGAACTGATGACATTCAGGGATGTGGCCGTTGATTTCTCTGAAGAGGAATGGGAATGCCTGGAGCCTGCTCAGCAAAATTTATATAGAGATGTGATGTTAGAGAACTACAGAAACCTGGTCTTCCTGGGTGAGGATTCCTTCCCTTCAGAATTCCTAATTATTTTCAATATTTAATTCCCTTTCCTTGCAGAATATCTTTTGAGGTATTTTCTGTAAGAATGAGTTTCACATTTGTAGTTTCAAGAAAAAAGGGCATTTTGGGGTACAGATAGAATATTAGTTACATTTCTTTTAGTCTTTAATCTCTCCCTTTCTTGGTGTGACATAGTACTCTAGATAAGTGGTACTTAGAGTAATTCAGTGATGTTAAATATTGTGACCTACACATAGCAGAGGACACAGTTAAGAGGCCCAAAGGTCAAGGAGGAAGCCAGACTTCAAACTGTTGATTGAGAAGTTATCCCAGCAGAGAAGATATTTCAGATGCTTAGGTTTCTTCCTGTTGTTATCATAGAAGAACATGTACTGCCCTGTCTGTCATGCTTTCAAATTCAGTAAAGCCTCCTGATTGTCCTCCAGTGAGGTCAGAGTTCATCCCAGTTACCAACCACAACACTTCCCTTTGCTTGTGATGGTCAGCAGGATCTAACAGCTCTTCCATGATGTTCAGGTCTCTAGGAAAGCTGGGCATGTTTCCAGAGACCTTCAGGTCAAACCATTGTAAAATATTAACATCATCAATCAGTTTCTCTGACATTACTTATATATTTATTCATTAAAATTCCCTGATCAGAGCTCTTTCTGAATATCTATAATGGATTTCCTCGGAAATTTTCTGCCACGTAATGTCAAGATTCACAATGGCTGCTCTGTTTGGTCTATAGTCACAAGGTGTAAATTGCACTTATACACAAGGGTTTGTAAAATAATGCATCTGTGGTTATTTACAATTTTGTTGGTTAAATTTTTTTTCCTCTCATTTTGTAGAGTAGGTTTTGTGTTGTAGAGTAGGTTTCCTTATATCAGTTAATAGTGTTATATTTTGTGATTAGATGACAATTTTCATTACTTCACAAATTAGGACAATGTAAATTGAAATTAAGCTATGCATGAACCTTGTTTCTATTACCAATAAAATTTACATGTGCTTTTACTTGCTTGTATAAATATTACACCTATATTTTTAATGACTTTTATATTTTATCTGGATTGGTTTTTCACCTGCCAATGTATATAGTGATGGAAATTTCCTATATGTGAATGTGATGGAGATTTAATTCAGGGGTGCTCTAATAATGAGCTACATCTCCAGCCTCTCTTTATTTATATTTGGAGAGAGGACCTCACTAAATTATCAAGGATGGCTTTGAATTTAAAATCCTCCAGCCTCAGAATTGCTAGTAGCTGGGATTACGTACATTCCCATCATTTATATATTGTTGAGTTTGTTCTTATTTATAGCATTTTCATGGTAGCTTTCAAAAATTTTGTAGTTCTGTTTATCAATTTATGTTGTTTGAAATTTTAATTTTGATCAAAAACAAAAAAACAAAACTTGTTTTCTCCAACATTTCAAGTTTACTGTTCAGCAGTGTTAATTCAATTGTTATGCAGTGTATCTCCTGAAAGTTTCCCTATCAGAAAGCTAAAAAATCAATTCCTATATAAACAAGGCCTCATTTCTGTGTCCCCCATCACAAACACCATTCTCATTTCTGTTCAGAAGGAATTATTTTGTTTTGTTTTTAGTTTATATATCTCATATTAATATAATTCTGCAAAAATTGTCTGTTAGTGACATTTCAATTAACATAATGTACTCAAGATTTATCCTCATTATAGATTTTAGAAAATTTCTTACCTTTTTTGACTTAAAAATATTCTATGCTTTTTATATTCCATATTGCCTCATCCACTCATTTCAAGGAATATTTGGGTTGCTTCCACATGATGGCTCTGTTGAATGATATTGTAACAAACGTTGCTGTGCAAATGTCTCCGTTTGCCATATATGTGAAAGCTTATTATCAGAATTCTTTATGCCTATTTTTCTAACTTGATTTCAATATTAACTATTGAATCTGGTAACTTTTAATATATTTTTAAGTCATGAAACAACAGTCTTCCAATTTTATTTGTATTTTGAATATTTTTGAAGTAGTCACACAATTTTGAGTTGCCAGACAATTTCTAGAATAGCTTTTTCGGTTTCTGCAAAAAGTAACATTGGGAATATGATAGATATTATATGGACTTTCCAGATATTGTTGAGTAATACAAACATCTCTCAATTTTATCTTTCAGTTCTTGAACAAGGCCAGTTCAAGAGTATTTAATCCAATCTATTAACCTTTGCTACATTCCCTACAAATTGGTGGATCTAGTATAATAGTCCCTTTGCTAGTGGAATATTGAGTACATACGTCAAATTGGTTTAAAATGTCTTTCAAAGTCTTGTGTTTTGTGATTAACATTTTATTGGACTTTTCCTTTACAAAAAATGGGGATTGGTGTCTCCTTATATTACAGTGTTGCTTTCTATTTCTTCATTCACTTCTCTCCTTCTTACCTTTTTATATCGGGGAAATGTGATGTGAGTTGAAAGTCTATCTAGTCTTATTTTGGTATCCTAGGGAAAGGTTCCTTTTATCTTTGTATAATATTCTACTTTGCCTCTTTTCAAAGTTTTTTTAATTTAAATTCTATTTTATCTCATATCTTTTTGTTTTAAGCTACATTTTGCATATCATCACTTTGTGGCCCGGCTTTCTTGTGGTCATATTCTCATATTCATATTTTCATATTCTTTTGCTTTCAGTCTACTTATGTCCTAGATTTAGAGTTTCCTGTAGATTACATACCATTGTGTCTTAGTCAAGCTTTTTGTTTTGATTAGTGTTTGGTAATAATGCATTCATAATCAAGTAAATTTCTACAAATGAAGAACCCATTCTTCCTACTTTGTAAGCTGTTTTCTGTATTTCTTATGATTGTTTTACCGTGTGTGTGTGTGTGTGTGTGTGTGTGTGTGTGTGTTGCTGGGGAGTGAACCCAGGGCCTTGTGTATGTGAGGCAAGCACCTACCAACCAAGCTCCTCCCCAGCTCCTCCCACTTCTCTTAATGGTCCAATTTGTGGTTCCTTGCTTTTCATGGTGACAAGCTTTCATTCCTCCCCCACTTATGTTTACACTTTCTATGGGAATTTATTCTCTCATTTTCAGTGAGACTTTATAAAGTTTGCTGTAAGTTCACACTATATTTTAAACTGGTAACAAATTAACTTCATTATAAAATTTGGCATATTAATATATTCATTCAAAATTATGTTGTTGAAGATTTTGTACTGCATTCCCATTTAAAGTTTATGTTGATTTTTATGATTTTGTCTTTGAAATTCTGTTTCAAAATTAATTTATAACCCATTATTAACAGTAAAATAGAATTGTATGTGATTTTTTTTTTCTGCCAAGAAAACTGTATTCTTTATGAGTTGTGGTGTTGTGCAGATTTATTGTTCACTATGGAAAATTCCCTTAGTGTTTTTGGAGGACAGCTCTAGTGATGGTGAACTTTTGAGCATTTTCGTATTTTAAAATCTTTTATTTATTGATTTATTTTTTCACTTTTGAAAGATAGTATTTCTGGATACAGTATTCTTGGTTGGTAATTTTAAATCTTTTACCCATTTGGCAATATTCCCATTCCTTTCTGCCATGTAAATTTCCCTTTTCAATTGATGCATCTTTTTCTCTGTGCTCTTCAGATTCTCTTGAATTTTTAAACTTTGATTAAATCATTCTTTGAGTCTTTCTGTTTGCCCTACTTTGAGATAACTGAGCTTCTTGGATCTTGATTTGTTTTATTTATAGTATTCATAATTGTTGACTTTCTTGTTGGTACTGGGGATGGAACTTAGTGGTACTCTACCACTCAGTTACATAACTCAGCCATCTTCATGTTGTAAAGTTTTTGACAAACAGTACATTGCTGAGGCTGGCCTCCTGGCTTAGCCTCTCAGATTGCTAGAATCAGTTGTGCACAACCACCCGTGACTCTCTCAGACAGTCTTTTAAAAGAATTCTTCACATACACAATTTCTGCTTATTTCTCTTAACAAGTTTTGTCTGAATTTTATTTAGTTTTCTGTGTTCCTGGTTAGGTCACTTTACTTTTTCAAATAGGGAGTAGTATCTTTCAGTAATTAATGACTCCCACTTTCCTCATGTTTAATTCTTAATATTTTGTTACCTAGGTTAAGCCATCTTTGTTTTTATGTGCTGTACTATTTTAATTGATTTATCCATTTAAAAACCAGTAAACAGTAAATTATACAGTCATTTTTGTAAATAGTATGGAAGTATATAAAGAAATGAAAAATAGGCAAGCACAGTGCTACATGCTTGTAATCCCAGCTAATTAGGAAGTCATGCAAAAGGATTTCAAATTCAAGGCAAATCACAGTAACTTAGTGAAATCATGTCCCAAATGATTTTTAAAAGGTTTCTGTTGTAGCTCAGCGATGCAGGACCCATGGCCTTAATCCCAAGCTCCATATATATAAAAACATTAACAAAAGAATGACCCTGTGATCGAGAAATGCAGGTACTAAATATATATCCACAAAAGAAATCAATCAGCATGTTGAGGAGATACCTCCACTACTATGTTCACTGCAAGCATTGTTCACAATACTGAAACATGGACTTATGTTCTGTGCCCATAAATGACTGAATGAGAAAAACTTTGGTATTTATATATGATTACTATTTAACCATAAAAAAGAGATACTTCATCATTTCAACTGACCTTGAATGAATATTCAGGATTTTGCATTATATTAAATAAGGCAGACAAAGAAAATCAGCTGAAGGAGCATCTGACTCACAGGTGGAAGTCAGAAATGCAGAGAATAAAATCGTGGTCACCAGGTACTGGATTTTGTGGACTATTGGCACAGTGTTGGTCAAGCTCTACATTTTTTTTTTTTTTTTTTAGTTCTAGGTGGACACAATGCCATTATTTTTACTTATATATGGTGCTGAGGATCAAACCCAGTGCCTCACCTGCTGTACAAAAGCACTCTACCTCTGAGCCACAACCCCAGCCCCTACACTTTTTTAAAAATTGGACAATCAGGTCCAATTGTAGTTGTAGTTGTATTTTACCACATGGTGAGTGTGGTGTTCTGTAATCTTGTTAAATACTAATTGAATGAATGCAATGGTTTCTAAGCATGAGACTGATAATTTTATGGAATAATGCATGCATTAATTCACTAGGATTAGTCATTTTACCATGTACATGTACTTTATAATACATGATATACTTAGTATATGCACAAAATTTAACTTATCAATGAAATAAGTCTACAAATAACAAAAATTTTAAAACATGAAATACAAGTCCTGTGTCTTGATCACCGTGTATTGGCTTCATCCAGGTAATGTGGTCATAGGCTGTGCTAGGTTTTTATTGCCTCTCATGCTTTTTTTTTTAATGGTGAATCTCTTTTGAAGCTTGTGTGTGTGTATATTTTCAACTTATAATTTAGTTCATGTTTCTTTTTCAGAGTCCATAGGCTCTTTGCCCCTGTTGACCATCTCCATGGTATTGTCATCCAAAATCTATCTCTTATCTTCAAGTCTTTATGTCATGACAGACAGAAACTAGTTTTCATACAGTACCTAAGAAAGCTGCAAATGTTTGCATGTGCTTCATATTTCCTTTAAACTACTGAGATTGAAGGGAGTTGGTAGATTTTATTCTAATTGCACAATGCTATATTATGGAGGAGGGTAGAGTGTGATTAATAAAAGGAACATAGTTTTCTTCCCTCTGCTATATTCCTCTCCTTAGTAGTGTTCTCATCTTGGATCCTGTGTTCTCTAAGGTGGCTTGGGCAGTTCTCACAAAGTAATTTTGTCTGAACATTTTTATTTAGTCTGCATATTTCTGGAATAATGATGGTCTTGGATTTACTGCTGATATCCTGACATGTGTATAATTTTATATCATTGTTGCAAAATATATTCATTCAGTCCAGTAAATAAAATGATTGTTATTTTTATTTATTTCAGCCATGACTTCTCATCATACCCATGAATCTCCACCAAAGCAGGAAATAAAATATTTGTTTCAAAAAATGATGAATGGAAGGTATGGAAATTGTGACTTTGACTATTTACATCTAAGAAAAATGTGGGAAACTACAAGTGAGAATGAAGGTCAGAAATCATATTACAAGGGACAAAACCAATTAGCAGTGACTATTCATAATGAAAACTTCACTGCCAACAGCCATCAAGAACATTTAATACTCAAAAGAATTCAATTTATGCCAGTTTCTTTTGAGGAACTATAAATGTCTTTTTAAGAATATATCCAGAGCAGTTTTGAAGCATATATTTCCTCTGAAAGGAAGTGTGGAAAATCTGAAAAGAGATCTATTCCATGCTTCAGTTTTTAACTTGACCCTTTTCAAATGTAGCATTGAGTTAAACTTCTAGTCAAATGTTTGTATAGACAAGAGATTAAAAGTGAGGGGGACACAATGGGCGGGAAGCTAGTGAAGAAAAGAGCTACTTGGGTCAGACAGAGGGACGGAAAAGAGGGAGAGGATATGGGGTAGGGAAAGTAGAATTGGACATTATTACTCTATTCGCATATATTATCATATGACTGATGTAACTATATAGTGTATAACCAGAAAGATGACAAGTTATGCTCCATTTATGTATGATGTGTCAAAATGCATTCTACTGTCATGTATAATAATAAGAACAAATTTTAAAAAGTTAAGGACAAATTTCTAAAAGTGATCCTTTTGAGAGTTCCTTTACACAATGTCCATTATCCAGCAATAAAGTAATAATTCCTCCTTGTGCTCAAACATACAATTTTAATGCTTTTAGGGAGTCCTTACTTACCCACTATTGCTTAATGAAAATTCAGATACAGATTTATGAAAAGTATCTCCATATGTAATGAAACAAATAACACCTTTAGCCAGGTCTCTGTCCTGATTACCAGTGTGCTTTTATTAGTGATAAAAATTATGAATATAGACTAACTTATAAAAACCTTAGTTTTGGTTGCAGTGCCAGAAATCATGAATATTAATATGTTCACTTTTCAAAGAACATTTATTAACAATGTGGGAAAGCCTTACTTCAGTGCTCAAAATTTACTCCCATCCAAATATTCATAGGCAAAATAAGCCTTGTGAGTGTAAGGTGTATGAAGGATCTCTTCATCAAATTGCAAAACTTACTATATAGAAGAGAATTTATACTGGAAAGGATTCTTATGAGCTTAAAGAATATATCAAAAATGTTTTTAATTAAATAAAATTATAAATATAAAAAAGAGAAGGTATCAAAGAATTTCATTGTTCAATCCTTTCTAAACCCCACAGATACCATGACAGTGATAAACCCTACAAGTTTAAAGAATGTAGCAAAATTCTTAATCAAAGATCACCTCCTGTTAAACATCCGAGGATTTATGCTGGAAAGAAGCCTTGTGAATCTAAAGAAAGTGGCAGAGCCATTAACAGTTGCTCAACTTCTTCTAAACATCTCAAGCAGCATAGCAGTGACAAAATAAAAAGCTCACTTGATACTCAACACCTGATAATATCTTCTGTAGGCAGATCCTACAAATATGAAGAATGTGCCAAGGTCTTAAAAAATTTTTCAGTCCTTACTCAACACCAGAGTACTCATACTGGAGAGAAGCCCTACAAATGTGAAGAATGTGACAAAGGTTTTAATCGAAGACCATTGTTTACTGACCACCAGATAATTCATACTGGAGAAAAGCCCTACAAATGTAAAGAGTGTGGCAAAAGTTTTAATCAAAGATTATATCTTAAAGAACACCAGAAAATTCATACTGGAGAGAAGCCCCACAAATGTACAGAATGTGACAAAGCTTTTGTTCACAAATCACTGCTTACTCGACACCAGAGAATGCATACTGGAGAGAAGCCCTACAGTTGTGAAGAATGTGGCAAAGGTTTTGTTCAAAAATCGCTGCTTACTCAACACCATGGAATTCATACTGGAGAGAAGCCCTACAAGTGTGGAGAATGTGGCAAAGGTTTTTATTACAAATCAAACCTTACTCAACACCAAGGAATTCATACTGGAAAGAAGCCCTACAAATGTGGAGAATGTGGCAAAGGTTTTAAACAAAGATCATCCTTGAAAGATCACCAGGGTATTCATACTGGAGAGAAGCACTACAAATGTGAAGAATGTGGCAAAAGTTTTTATTACAGGTCAAACCTTACACAACATCAAAGAATTCATACTAAAAAGAAGCCCTACAAATGTGAAGAATGTGGCAAAGTTTTTGAGCAAAGATTATATTTTAAAGAGCACCAGAGAATTCATACTGGAGAGAAGCCTTACAAATGTCAAGAATGTGGAAAAGCTTTTAAACGAACAGATAATCTTTCTCTCCACCAGAGAATTCATACTGGAGAGAAGCCCTACCAGTGTGAAGAATGTGGCAGAGCTTTTGTTCATAAATCACTGCTTACTCAACACCAGAGACTTCATACTGGAGAGAAGCCCTACAATTGTAAAGAATGTGGCAAAGCTTTTCGTCAAAAAGAACATCTTATTTGCCACCAGAGAATTCATACTGGAGAGAAGCCCTACAAATGTGAACAATGTGGCAAAGATTTTAATACAAAATCATTGCTTACTGAACACCAGAGAATTCATACTGGAGAGCGGCCCTACAAATGTGAACAATGTGGCAAAGCTTTTGTTAAAAAATCACCACTTACTCGACACCTGAGGACCCATACTGGAGAGAAGCCCTATAGATGTGAAGAATGTGGCAAAGATTTTAAGCAAATATCAGCTCTTAAAGGACACCAAAGAGTCCATACAGGACAGAAGCCCTATGCATGTGAAGAATGCGGCAAAGCTTTTTATGACAGATCAAACCTTGGTCAACACCAGAGAATTCACACTGGAGAGAAGCCCTACACATGTGCGCAGTGTGGCAGAGCTTTTGCTCACAAGTCACTGCTTACTCGACACCAGAGAATTCACACAGGAGAGAAGCCTTATACTTGTCAAGAATGTGGCAAAGCTTTTAGTCAAAAAGAAAAGCTTATTTACCATCAAAGACTTCATACTGGAGAGAAGCCCTACACATGTGAAAAATGTGGACAGGCTTTTATTCAAAAATCACAGCTTACTCAACACCAGAGAATTCATAGTGAAAAGAATTCCTACACTTGTGAAGAATGCGGCAAAGGGTTTTATCACAGATCAAGCCTTACTCAACACCAAAGAATTCATACTGGAAAGAAGCCCTACAAATGAAACATTCTCCCTGTGCTTCAAAGGATGGTTCAACCCTTATTCTACACAGCAGGAATCAACAGAGAGAAATAGAAATGTAAAAAAAGTGGCAAAGTTTCCAACAGTTGTTCATTCACACCGTATTCATCCCCTGAGAATTCATACTTTTGAGAGAGAATACAAGTGGAAAGATATCACAAGGCTTTTAGCCATTGTTCATATATACTAAAAACTGGAGGATTCATAATGCATTGAAACCCTAAAAAATGTAAGTAGTGTGTCCAAGCCTTTAATCAAATTTCAAACTTTCTTTAAAATATGAAACCTCATATCTGTAGTGAATGTGGAATGACATTTGTTCAAAATATATTCCGTAGATAACAGGAAATATTTAAAGTTAAGAAAAATCATTCAAAAATAAATAATACTAGAGTCCCTATCTATACATATCTTCATGTATATGAGGATAATTGAGAGTTATCACTTTAATAAAGAAAATGGGTAATTGACTTTAACTTTTCCAAAATTTACTAAACATCATTAGCTGACGTGGTAGAAATAATGAAATCCTCACAGAAATAGTATAGTTTCGATAGAAAGGGAATTTGTTTATTGTGATTCAAACATTACCAAGTAGCCTCACTTTGAAAACTAGAGAACACATGGGTATCACAGTTGATTATATCAGGAATCTAATTGCAGGAGGGAGCTTTCCAGATGGCAGAATAGAAGAGGTTCCTTTCCTGGCTGTTCCATGGCATGAAACCAAGAAAGGCATCTTCTCTGCAAGGTGGATGGATATAAAGAGGGTAAATAACTGGGAATTCATACTGCAGTCAAACAATGGGAACTATGGGAGCTGGATGCAATAAAATAAGGAAGAAATCCCCAGTGCCAGCCAAGCAAAGTAGAAAGGTGGTGACATTAAAAGAACCCATATTTTTTGTAGACCTGTGACATGTCTGGGTACAGAGAGATCAGAGGCCAGTCACTGGGGACTAACGTGACAGGCATGCTGAACCACATCCTAGTGCCAACAAGGAGCCATCTTTCAGCTGTGCTATGGGGGCGGGCAGTTGGGGGAACTGATCCCAGGCAGACCCAACTTGGGCCTAGGATTCAGGCTGGCAAACCCAGAACACATGACAAAGAGTGCCTAAGTGACCAGGAGAAAATCAGATGTGGAGAGGGGTTTACACAGGGTAATATAGGTCATGGAACACCCACCCTGCGCCCCTCACGCCTCAGCCCAGCTCCCTCCACATTTGAGTCCAGCAGCTCACAGGACTGCTGGGAGAGACTCACCTGGCTGGGAATTTGAAAGGGCAGGAGTGGGCATACTTTGCTTTGGAGACTGAACCTTAGAGACCAGAAAGCACGGGATCAGTGGGTGATGGAGGGGACAAAGGACTGGCTCCTTAGCCACATGAGAGGAACTGAGGGGAGGTACCTGGGCTGCAATCAACCATTATGAACTAGCAACTGCTGGGCCAGGAGGTGTGCTGATTTAAAATCTTCAGATCAATCACCATCTGAAAACGAACATGGAGTCCACCTCAGCCTGCACCCCACCTCCAGAATCTCCACCTTTGGGATCTCTCTCACATCCAGCCCAGCCCATCCAACACTGCTGAGAAGGGAAGCCAAGAATTCTTTGAACTCCAAAGGAAATAATTCTTTAACTTTTCACTGAAATCTTATTTCTGTTTATTGTGACCTGAGTGGTTCATGGACACTTATACATATGCATCATTGTCACTTTTTCTCATTTCTGGGATCTTTTGAAGGCAGTTATTTTTTATGGCTCAGCATCTTGAGGGCTAGGATTAGAATATTTCAGATTTGTTTTCTATTCTTTTAGGTTTTTAATTTTTATTTTACATGTATTCTCTCACTTTTCTGTTTCCTTTGAGTCTTTTCTTTTTTTACTTCTGTGTTCTCTCCTCCCTCACACTCATCCCATGCTACATCTCTTCCATTCTCTCCCTGTTCATCATTTAAACTTGTGAATATCTTGGTTCTGTAATTTTCCTGACATTCTGTTTATATCAGCAGACATGTAGACTTCTTTGGTGATAAGAAAATTTCTGTTTGATAAGAGACCTTTCCTTTCCCCTGAGAATATTTATGAGAATTTTTTTCTTAAAAGGGAGCTTTGAGTAAACTAAGGAATGTACTTTTATAATGGACTAAAAGTCTTTAACTAACAGAGTGGATATAGATGCAATTGTGAGCAATAAACAATCTTTCCAGGGTCTTTGCAGTTGTTATTCAGTTGAGATGAGATCAAACTGAATTACAATTGACCTTCAACCCAAAGATTGGTGTCCTTGTAAGAAAAGATGATACATAGAAAGTCTCAGAGAGAAGCCAGAGAAAGCCAACGCAGTACCACTCCAAGGAACCCCACTAACTGCTGTCATCACCAGAAGCTAGGAGGGAGGCATGGGACAGGTTCTCCCTTGGGACACACAGAAAGAACCAATGCTGCCTGGTGTGTGGTTCTGTGCTCTGGCCACTGAGCTTTGAGGAAAATAAACGTGTTGTTTTGAGCCACTTGGTTCTGTTCACCTGTATGTGCGTTCTAGGAAACCAGTACAACACTGTTTCAATCAGTGATGGAAGTTTGTAACACAGGGGGTACTTTTATGAGTCAACTTGACTAGGTTAAGGAATGCCCAGATAGTTGGCAAAGCATAGTTTGTGTGTGTCTGTGAGGATGTTTCTGAAAGAGATTAGCATTTGAATCAGTAGAATAAATAAAAATATTCTCCCTCGCCAACGTGGCCTGGGATCATACAGTCCATGGAGGGTCAGCCCAGAGAGCATACAAGGAGATGGAAGGGAAGATTTCCTTTCTATTCTTGGGCTGGGGCTGCAGTTTTCTCTTGTCTTCAGACTTCAAATATCCTGGTTCTGTGGCCTTGAGCTCTGGGACTTGTGCCCACTGCCCCTGGTTTGGGATTTAGGACCCAGATTGAATTATACCAAAGCTTTCCTCTTGCTGCATATTACACATGGGATGGGACTCCCAGCTTCCAAAATTGAGGGAATTATTTGCCATACCATATCTACTCTTATTTATACTCCTCATCCGTCTCATACTGTTACTATTTATCTGGAGAATTCTAATATACCTAACACCCTGATTTTTCATCCTGCATATCCCATGTTTCTTTTATTTCTTTCTCCAGATCTTTAAATTTTTTTCATTAAAATATCATTTTTTGGCATTTTATTTTCTGTCTCAGTTTTTCACCTAAAATTTCTTATTGTGTATGTATAAGTGATTGCCTGAAAGATAACAAATTGACCCCTTATCAGAGTCTACCTACAACAAATATTTGTATATAATATATGAACTTATTATGTAGCATTCCACATTTAATGAGGTTTTTGTTTTGTTTTTGTTTTTTTGCAGTGCTGGGGATCCTACCCAGGGCGTTGAGCATGCACAGCAAGCACTCTACCAACTGAGCTACATTCCCAACCCTCACATATAATGAATAAACCAGTTGCACCATCTGTCAGAATAGTCAGGGCCTCACCAACCACATGTGACTTCTCTTGGAAGCATCAGGAATATTTCCATCTCCAGTGACCCTCCTTTTTGCAGAATACGCACTAGTTGGCTTCCTGCTTTTCTGGAGTACTCTAAATCTCCCTGATCAGCAGATCATATGACTCACTAGAGTTATAGGGTCCAGAGAGGGTTCCTGTTATTCCCTGAGTTCCAGTTGACTTTAAAGGGCAGTGGCCAAAATATTGGCTGAATTTTACAGTTACCCCTTTTATTTAATTAAGGTCAGTATTAGTACTGGAAGTCAGCATTATATACAATATGTCCTGTAGGTGATGAAGCACTTATTATATCAAACCCAGGTGGGTTTTTAGAAGCAGCACTTCTGTAAAACACTATCAGGCAACAGTTCGCAAGGAAAATACAAGATGAAATTTACAGCAAGAACATACTTACTTTGTGTAATAGCTATGAACCAAGAAAAATGATTTTCATGATCTTGAACCTTTACTAGTTATACATTATATCCTCTATTTGAGATCACAGTAATCTTTATAACAAAAATCAATCGTTTGAATACAACTTTAAATGAGCTGAAGTTTAGCCTATGTTGGAGCCAATTTAACATGGAGTAAGGTGGGAGGCAGAGCTTTATCTCAGGTAAGGAAGGGCTCTTTATAAATAATAGAACATTACATCTGAAACATGAATCAAAGGCTAAGAGCTTTTAACTTTCTTTTTGTGGGGGAAAAAAATGGCAGGAGGGTCTCATTAGCTTCCAAAAATACATTTAAATTCCAATTCCCATCTGAAGAGTAACACAGAATTGTACATATAACTTGTGGAGAACAGGTTACTTTATTCAGTTATAAGCCATGAAATGACATGAATAAATTTTAACCTACCAAGTTTGTTATTTCTAAACAAATCCAAAACTTTAGTTACACATAATTTTAGTTTGGAGGACACCAACTTGGGATAATGTTTTCCTAAGCTGTACATTTAACTAAGTTTAACTTTTAAAGTACAATTTAGAGTCCAGCTTGTGTGGTAACAATAATCACAGATATGCATAGATTAACAAAAGTCAAAGAACAGCCTTCAATCTCCTATACATTTAGGAAACAGTGCTGATGATCAGAAATTGGCTTCATCAAATCAAGCAGGTAAAAGACAGGTTTTTAAATGACACTGTGGTCTTTTATGGCCATGTATAAAAGAGAGTACTTATTGCTTATCTTGTGAGTAAACTTACATAAACTTTCATTTTATAAACTTCCATATGGCACTTAGGCAAGGATTAGACAGATACACTTCTCAGATGCATACATATACCTAATCACATATTTTGCACATCAACAATATTGTTATAACCTAAGTAACAGTTGTTTGTGGAACAAGTTACAAAGTAATCATTTAAGACTTTAAAACGGGAACACACTTCCATTCCTAAAACTTAGTTTCCCCAAGTAATAAAACCTTACATATGGAAGAAAATAATTTTGATAAGATCAGATCAATGTTTCAGACTTTGCTACATATCAGTATATTAAAATTCAAATAACTTTATCTGTGCTAGTTAAAGGCAATTTACTCATAATCTCTGAAATTTTTTTTTTTTTTAAAGAGAGAGTGAGAGAGGAGAGAGAGAGAGAATTTTTAACATTTTTTTTTTTAGTTCTCGGCGGACACAACATCTTTGTTGGTATGTGGTGCTGAGGATCGAACCCGGGTCGCACGCATGCCAGGCGAGTGCGCTACCGCTGAGCCACATCTCCAGCCCTCTGAAATTTACCTTTAACCACACAAACCCTCTTATTGCTTACTTGGACAAATCACAACTTTTACCATGCAAAGACTTTCTTGCCCAGAAACATTTTCTTTTTCCATCTACTAAATATTTCCATACCTGGAACCTTTTGATATCTCTTTCAGTTTGGGATCCTTCCTTAAATTTATATTCTGAAACAGTTTTTAATGCATTTAATTTACACAACAAATTTCATCAGACAATGATGGGATACTATTGTAGCAAGAACTGCTTTTGCCCCATGGTGAATACCCTTGGCCAAATGGGGTGTCCTGTCAGATCTTAAAAGAGGAGACTATTCCTATCCCCAGGTTGTAAACTAAGGTGCTGAAACCTACTGCCACATTCTGGGTCCCCACCAGGCTCCAACCACCAGGGGCAGAAGGAGCTGGAG